TTTATGAAAAATCAAAAGTAATGTTGTGTCGTACAGACTACGATATTATTATTGTAAACACAAATTTCTACACAATTTCTATATAAATCAAATTGAAACTGTAGTCTTCGCCAAAAGATTGACACTATTGAAATTTGCAATTTTTACATTTTTTGCAAAATTTACTTTCGAACTTTAAAGTTTGCCATCTTTGGATTACTAAGAATCAAACTTTGGATGTAAGAGTTTTTATTCGGCATATTATAATGTAGGTATACATATTTCTTTGACAGAACCATTAATTTTTATGATAATTAATTATTTTATTTTTCATGAGAACGCAATATAATTCACGAAAACAGAATGCAGTCCAGGAGAGTAGAACGTAATTCAAGAGAACAGAATGTAACTTATGAGAAGACGATGTAATTCATTAGAAGAGAATGTAATTCGTGAGAACAGAATGTAATTTATGAGAGCAATATGTAATTCATGAAAACATAACAATATAATGTATGACTTTTATGAGAGATCTATTCTCAAATGGAAATGCGTTTGTTTAGTTCCTTTATTCTTAGCAAATGCTAGACGAATAAATTCTATTTTATTTACCAGCATCTATATTATAATAACAATTCTAGATAATCATTTAATACTTCTTAATTTTTTTACCCAATAGCAAAATTTCTATATCCATTATGAAATAAATTTTCAAGAAATTTTTCAAATAGAAAATAAAAAATTTTCCTATTCATTAAAATATAATAAAAACTTTATTGATTTCCTTAAAGATTTTAATCTTTTAATTTATATTGTTAAATAATCTTTCTTTAATCCTTTTTCTAAAATACAATATTATTGATAATCTAATATAATCACATCTATGTACATAAACTTATATAATGCAATTACCAGTTAAAATTTTTGTTAAAAATAAAGAAAAGGAATATCAAATAATATAAAGATTTTTTTTTAACAATTTTTAACTACAAACATTAAATTCTATAAACATCTGTTAGATCTCATCAAAATCAATTTTACGGATTACCTTCTATACATAAACATTAAAATAAGAAACATGAAACCATTAACAAATAACAAGAAAACAAAAACAAAACACTTCTAAATTTTAAATATACATGGAATTCGGAGTCATAAGGTGAAAACTAAACGTATTCCTTGAATGAAATGCTATTAAAAAAAGAAACATTAGATTTTACATGAACGAATTAAATAATAGTATTATGACTATGATAGTGCAAAAAACAAAAAACCAAGTGTTAAAACTAACAATGAGGCTAAAACACTATCTAGGTAAAAATTTATAACAACATACATAGATGTGAAAGAATGTTCTTTTATTGTAGTCTAAATTTTTAATTTTCAAACAAGATGTGCTTAAAAGCATTAACTCGAATGGTCAACGTCAAAATGAGAATTTAATTTTTCTATTAAACGTATACTTGGTTGGATTCGACCAGACCAATTTCTAAACTATTTTGTGAGCTGTTGTATATTATTAAATTGATATTAATGAAAAGTTGTAATACTATATAATGTATATGATATTTTTCAATTTGAATAAGAAAATCTACGAATAATTGACGGTTTCATGAACATTTTAACGGTTAACTTCTAGAAGAGATGCTTTATTTTATCCTTTACAAAGGCCATTAGTCTGAAAAATCTCATTCTTTACTAAATTATCACCGGAACTAATTAAATAAGATACCTCTAAAAGCATTGAATAACTGTAACTTTGAATAGCCCATATTCAGCAATAGTTTTTTTAGTTGTTTTTTCATATCCAAGAAAATTATAATAAACTGCATAAATATTAATTGTCACCAATTTAAAATTGATCCTTTATGGCTCTTCTGATCTATAAGTCGCAGTTTAATCAAACAAAATTTTGCTATTCCAAAAAAATTATCGGAAAACATTCTTTCCACATCTTACAGCTTCTTTAATTCCAAACATTTTCTGTTATGGCAAACATGAGAAATGAAAATTTAAAAGGTGAAATCAATACGTTTTTTCTTCTTCTTCATATTACATATAGGGTTCATCATTCTCTCATTTCGATTCGATTTAATTTCTTATACAATTATTGTTGTTTGCTCTACAAAAAGAAGTATAAAATAATATTATAATAATGCTATGGTCAAAACAATATCTTCATAGGCGCGAATAATATTTTCAACAAACCAAAAAAAAAACAATATAATAAAGAAATTCAATAAAATAATGTACACGATAGGTGTACGATATAGGAGAGGAAGACGAATTTTTATTTCCGAGATTCCTATCTTTACGCATTTAAAGCGATTTTTTTTCGTTTTTTTTTTCTTTGGTTTTGTTTTCATTTTTGTTGCTCCACTAGAATTTATATTTGAGGATTATAAGATTTTATGTGGATAAAGTATATAGAAGAGGTAAGAGTTAGGAAAGAACCTTTACAGAATCTCATGTTGTATTAAAATAATGTTATCCATGCTAAATTGATATAGCGATAAATTTCTCTTTTTGTTGTATCATTTGGTTTTACATGAACTGATCGTAAATTAAATTTGCCAATGGTTTTGGATCAAGCAGGATTTCAAGAGTTTTTGTTTTTAGGCTTTTAATTTTTCTCTTGTTTTGTTTTATGTTTAAAGTTTTTGTTAATTTTGATATTTTTTGTATCTTTATTTTGTTATGTTATTTTTACGATTAATTTAAAAACATAAGGCAAATTTATAAATAAGAATCTTTAATTTTGTTTTTTGAGAAGATTTGGTTTTCTCCTTTTGAGTTTTTTTATAAAAGGAAAAATTTTCGTAATGAGTTTTTAAAACGTGTGATTCATGTTATGAAAAAATTAAGATGCAAATGTAAAATGAGGTTCTGGTGTAAAATTTAGTTCTTCACGTAAAAGAAAGTTCAGGAGCTAGAATCACTAAAATTATTTTCAAGATCTCGTATTTATAGTCTTCGAGCTATTTTTCTAATATGAGTTTAAATAAAAGATGAAAACCAGCATCAAATTGTAAATTAATCTTGCGTCTTCGTTAATAATTGGCAAAGTTGAGATTATTGCTTTAAAGGAATGTAAAAACAAATCATTTTATTTATAATGAGACGGTAAGTTCTCGTGAGCTCTATTTTACGATACCCGGAATTGCCGGAATAACCAGCTGATATTTTAGAATACTAAACCATTTTAAAAATGCGACTACCACCCTGTATATTTGAAATATCTTGTGATATTTTTTTTTGTATTATAAACAATAATCAATAAACAAAAATGTTTTATAACCAAATCATAAAAAAAAAATTTGTTATTGTTTAATTTAACAGCCTTATTATGACATTTTGTTATTGAGAAATAAAAAAAATTCGCGATAAAAATTTTTTTTTAATTTAAAGGACATTCAACATTTAACAACAAATACTGACAACAATTTTGTTGCAACTGAACAAAATGAAGAAGATAATTTTAGTACCTTCATCCCATATATGCAAAATACTTCCACCTACTGTGTAAAATAAATGATTTATATAAGAAAATTTATGGCATGACGAACATTATTTTATTAAATTTTTGTTTTTATATTTTAAGTGAACCTTACAAGTTAATGAGATATTATTGAAAATTAAAGTATCTACCATATGTACAAATTGATTTGGTAAGATTATTTGTAAAGAATTTGCATTAAAATATCAATAGAATAATTTTTACTATCCTATGTTTGTATGTATGCATTTAGGAGTGGAACATATATTAATATTCCACAGTTTAATATTGTATATCACACTTTATCAGATGAGTGAATTGCAAAAATAGATTTGACCTGACCTGACCAAACCTGACTAGACGATTTGGAAAGCAATAAGGTAAATGTATTTAAAAGCAAGAGCTGTTATAAACTTATTATTACATATTAGAATTAGAATAGAGAGAATTGCAGCATATCATCTTGAGAATTATGAATTCATATTTGGTAAATCTATTAGCAAATCAATTTGCACAACATTAAAGAAACACATTGTTTATAGAAGGATGAGACAACTGGTCTAAAAGGGTGATAGGAATTTTTAAAGATAAAATTTTTTCCGAATTTTGAACAATTTTAAATAATCTAACCTTGTAAGACCAAATTAAGCACAATTCAAACGGAACGGTGATGGTTAACGGTAAATAATTTTTTACAACCAATATGAAAGTTATGAACTCATCACTAAAATTTCTTATTCGATTTTCGAAGTTGAAGAACCAAACAATGTTGTACAATATTTTTACTGATCCTATTGTAAACTGGAGTGGGCGGCCGCTGTGATCCTCTGGAATAGATTCAATTCGATCGGCTATGTTCTGCCATCAAATTTTTTGAAATCCATTAATAAGTTAGTATACCTACAATAAATGCACATTCGGTTTTTAGAACAAATTTTTCCTTTATTTTTAATATTTAATACGAAGCTTCGTGGCAAGTGTGAAATTCATATTTTCAAAAAAATCCCGTATTCGAATTAAAAAACTAATTTCTTTTTTGTTTTGAAAATTTCACAAAATGTCAATCAGTTATCAATCATTAATAAACAGCAAGATGCGTAATTTTCAATGCGAATTACCTAACAATTTTAATATGTCGCAACGGCAATGCGGCACTTTTGACAATCGCGGAAATTTAATCATAGCATCAAAGTAGAATACTAAACGGCGTTTGTGTTAATTTTATGTTGTATAATTATTATATTAATTACTCTATTCGCATAACTTCCTTTTAAATGACACAATAAGCAAATTAAAATTTTTAACCTAACCATACTTTTTCATGAGTCAATTTTTTTGTCTTTGGTAAATGTTTGATACTTAAACTGTTCCAATCAAATATAAGACAAAAAACAGATACCTTAAGGTGGTTTTTGATCCGCTTTGTACATAATACTCGTGTTGTATAAAAAAAATAGTTTTAATTACTCCTTTTTTCATATGTAAAAAAAATTTTACTCTAAGATTGTTTTACATACATACTTACATTTTCGCATGAAGATTTACATGATCCAAAAACTAGTTCACAACAAGTTGAAAAATCTAGAATGGGAAAAAAATTAAGTTGAATAATAAATAAAATTAATTGATTAGATATGTATAAAAAAAAGTTAAAAAATTATAAAATTTTAAAATTCATTGAAAAAAAAATTTAAATTAGAAATCGTATAGATATTAATGTCAATTAACCAAGCAAGCCAAAGAAAAAACACTTCGTTTCCAGTTTAATACGCTTATGATTTATTTACAAATGTCAACAAGTTTCGATATCATTTATTTAAAAAAAATAAATATTTTTTTTTTGAAATTTTCATTTTAAAGTGGTCATAATAAGCTGATTTGAATAATCTGACACCTTAAACAAAAAAATATATATATTTTTAATTACCTATGTATGGTAATACAAATGGAACACTGAAACTTTTTAGTGTTGAATGCCAGTACACTGTATATGCATTTTGCAAAGAAATGTAAGCTTGGGTATTAAACATATCACATTATTATTGCCACTTAATTCAAATTGAACAAATTTAAATGAATAATAAATAATTCATTTCTCATTTACAATATATGTAGATACTAATAATATTAAGTTCCCTTTTAGAGATCACCAATTTGCTTAAAATGATAAAATAAGCATAGTAATAACACAATTCAAAAATATTCTTTCACGATATTTTATTTCTTTGATGTTTTCTTGCTTTCAAATCAAAATAAACAGTATCAAGGTAATGAATTATAACGTATACCATCCCGTTTACATGGCAGCTTGAAGCCGGCTTCACTCAAGTAAAAATTTCGCTCACTTGACTTGTTACGTAATAGCTTAACGCCTTTTTTGGACTTTAAAGTTGACAACGAAAAAATACAGAGTGCAATTAATTATCTTAGAATTTTTCAAAAACCAAACCAAAGCGGACAACGGATACGGCGAACGATTGCCGTTGTTAACAGTAAACAACAGCGAAAGAGGAAAAACTGATGATCAGTATTTCGCATACAAACACATACATGAAAAAAGATAATGTTCAAAAAATTGTCAGCGATAAAATAAGGCCATTGTGCCGATGTCGGTTAAATTCGCGAAAACAGAGTTTCGTTTACTTCTTTCGGCCAATCCCATTTGAATGCAACGTTTATTCTATATGAACTTTGACATTTCGCGGCTCTTGCTCAGTCTTTAACTTTATTTAGTTTAGCCTTATTGTAGTAGGTTTATTACGGTTTAAGAGACACTGTATATTTCTGTAAAATACATATCAATTGGTAATTATAAAATTAATGGTGATTCTCTTGTAATTTTGATATCGATACGACAGATAAGTTATGTAATATAAATTTTAAAGAATAATTCAGAAAAAAAAAAAGTTTTGATTTTATAAATTACAATGTATGTAGGTAGAAAAAAATATTTTTAACACCTGTCAATATATTTTACAGACAATATGAACGACCGCAAAACATAATCTTGTTTGAATTCTGTTACTTGAATAGATCGAAAACAGCTTAAACAGTATAAAGCTGAATTCTAGACAAGACGATCTTTATAATTTTAGCATAGGTTACGATTAGCTATTCGGTAACCCAAAAACTTTTCGTTGTAACAAGTTTAAGTAACGTTATGTTTTCTGATTCAGCAGATTTAGTTAGTGAAACTAATACTATCCTTAAGAAGGATATTTTCAATTGAAAAGCAAAATGCGCCAATATTTTAAAAATAAATTTGTACTCGTAAAGTATTTCCGTTCCCGAATTAATTACACATAAAAATCATCTATGTATGTATGTAAGTAGCTATGCACTGTTACTGCATATTATTTTTCAAGATTTATTAATTACGTCCTTTAGCATAATTCATAAATAAATATTCTCTGATATCAATTTTATTTTATATACATATTTCATATAATGTTGTCACCCATATATGTAAGTATGTATTTCTAATTAAGCTCCACTTCATTATCGTTTTATTTTCAAGATACTAAAATCAAATGCCAAATAATTTATTTAAACAAAAATAAAATTTACATCAATTCTATGTTCAGAAAATTTTGAAATTGTTTAAATAAAGTATATATTGAGAAAATTTTTAAAGTAAAAATAGAAAAGGGGCTGCTGACTTCAAAGAAAAACATTTTTTATGATAAAATTTTTAATTACGAACACTTGGCGAGATGATCAATCAAAACAAGTACATACTTCATTTGCGTTGCCATAATATTCCTGTTCTTATTATGTTTTTTATATTTCATTGTCATTGTTACCATATATACGAAACATTGACATATAAGTATGTTGGGTGCGCATCAAAAAGAATTATTCGACATGGTTTATATATTGTAAAAACAACTGAATACAACAATTTAGTCAGGCACAGATGCATTCAAACGCTTGATAAAAATTTACTTTGACATTTTTTTTCTGATTGTCTTGTTTTTTTTTTATGTTTATTCAATGAAAAGGAAAAATGTGATTAACATGTGATTTTTGAGGATTTTGTTTTACATTTCTGTCAATATTAGGGAAATAAAATTAATTTAATCTAAAACTGTATATTGTAGTTCAGGTATTGATGTGTTTTGATTTTTTATTGGTAATTATATTAGTCTTAATATAAAAAATTTTTGTGTAAAACCCTATTAACAGACGTTTAATTAGCAAACTATTTTGATACTCTAACTACACGAGCTCTTAAATTATTTTATTTTATTTACAGGCTTAAGTTTTATGCAGAAAAGATTTATTTTTCAAATTATTTTGATCATCTGTCAAATTAGTTTTTACTGGAGCCCATATCCGTTTGTAATTTAACTATATACATAATCAGGATGCAATGATGTCCTGCAAAATATTAGATTTTGGTTGATACAATTTGCATTTTGGTTGAGATTGATTTAACATTTTTCGCTTATATTTATATCTGAAAGTACAAAAATAATCTTAACCAATCGGGAAAATTGGAACATTACGTTATTGCTCTGGTTTTCTTTCAAACGACGAGAGCAGCTACAGCTATTTTCGACGAAGTGTTCAAGTGAAATTTTGTCAAAGATGCTTAAATTTTTACATTTGGTTCATTGTGATTATACGATGTTTAATCAAGTTTTTCCTATATACATATACATAATGTTATACTATTTTGTATGTTATATTTTCTGTGATACGATTTTAATAATGAATTTATTTGGGGATTTCTTTTGAATATCTGTAGAGTGAAAAAATATTCCAGCTACATTTAAGGGTAATAAATCAAATAATATTATATTAGCTTATAATCTATAATATCCTTCAACATTTTATTTTTTGATGTATTTGAACCTGTTTTTAGATTCAGAGAAAATAAATAAAATTTTTCTTTAAATTTTTTTTTGTCATTTTCCTCTTTGAAATTTATTCGACATAATATTATCTAGGGGGTTTAATTATGAAGAAGAATCTTCATATATATTATATCTCTAAAAAATATAAGAAATGAATAAGTAATTATAAGAACAGAAAATATTTTAAAATAGATAGTAGAATTAATTAAATGCTCCGTTTTAATATTTCAAAGTTTAATCAAATTAAGTATTGTAACATACCCAAAAACAGTGGTTGGAAATCAAAAATTTGTTACTCGTATTGTAATTAAAATTGATGGTTTGATATTAAACATTAATTTAGGCAAAAATGTTTGTAATCGAACTTGGAAGTTATGCACATTAGTTTTGCAATTACAGCTTGATTATGAAATCATTGCGCGCACGTCTAAGCAACTTAACTATTGCCTCAATTTGAATCGATTGCGTTAACTAAAAATTGCAATCAGTTTGTAGAAAATTGCAATTAAGTGTTTCCACACTTAATTGTATTTCGGTCAAACAGTTGCAAAACTGAAAATTGCATCAAACTTTAGAAATTCTTCGCCATATTTTATATGTGCTTCGTATTAAATCGGCTTTTGTGTATTTTGTATGAAAGTGATTAAAATCTATTTTCTATAACAAAATGTACAAATCCTTTAATTACTTAATTTGTCGTCATTGACGTTCTACCGTCAACCAAATTGTCGCAATATATTTATATTCACATTCGTGTCGTCGTATACAACATGTGAATTTCTTTCAATTAATATATTTTTGTATTTTTTCATAAATTTAATTTAATTCGCAAGTAATCACAAAAAAAAAAAGAAAAAAACGAAAATGAATTTAATTACTTTGATCTTTGAACATTACGATTGAATATAAAAATTCTTCATGTCAAATATTTTTCGTATCATGAGTCTAGAATACACAATAAACCAAATGTAAATTCATCTTCTGCTTTTTTCCAAATATATGCATTTGCAGAGAAAGATTAATGCATGTTAAAATATAATTATTATTTATAACCTTAACAGAATTGTTGTGTATCGCGCTACTACATATTTATGTTACGAGAAGTATATATACATAGTAGGAATACCAACAATTTGCATGCATATCTATTCAAACATTAAATTTGTGTTTATAATATGATTAGTTGTCTACTTTTAAAATCTTATAAAAATTTATATGAGTTATAAAGTTCAGGAAAATAAGAGAAGTAAAAAAAATTAATTTTATAAATTGACAAGACAAAATGAATTATTACAATATGTGCAATAGTGTAATTTAACACACAAACATTCATAAAATCGGTTGAAACTAAAATATATAACTTACATTATGTGTTCATATCTAACATTTGTGATACTTATATGATATATATGCAGAAGATTTGGGATCAGAATTAAAAATATTATGATTCGTTCATGTGATTTGTAAAGAGTAAAAAACGACTTTGCTGAATCGCAGCAAGTATGTCTCAATTCTTAAGTTTTTAGCATTATTTCCTTACCGATTTATTTTGTGAAATCATGTGACAATTTAATAATTTTTAAAGTAATTGCAATTTTTTAAGTTTTGCTGTGAATTATAATATGACTTGGAGTCTCTTAACAGTATAAAATACAATAAAGAAATATGCCAAATTTAGTGGTTGAACGATAAAAGTTTGACATCTGTGCATACCGGAAACTG